TATATATATATATATATATATGTATGCATATATATATATAACATAAAACCTTTTAATTTGTCAGGTTATTAAACCCACATTACTCCATAAATCAATGATCAAATTTTCCAAGTGAATAAGGAAAATAACAAGTTGTGACATTAAGTTTGTTCAAAACTTTTTTTGTCATAGTTAAGAGGGGCAGAATAATGATCCAACCAACAACTCTGAGCTGCTAAGAACATGTGACAGGTGTAGCATTTTACCAAAACAAATGGCTGCTCACAGCCTTGCAAGGGTCATACCTCCAACTAATAATAAATGGTATTATTATAGAAAATGTTTGCCTGCATAAACACATAAACCTGCAGTCCCAAATACATTGCTGCAAATTTAACATAATATAATAAAAGACATTTAATAGGTATAAGAAACTCAAAATAACAACATTAGGGTTAAAGGCTCACTTTATCATACTTAGCTCCATGTTTGGTGTCAAAATGCCGACGTAGATTGTACTCTGACGACCGCCACTGCCTCATAACACTAAAGACGTACCGGTTTCTCTCCTTGAAGCACAAACTTCCCATCTTTCTTGAAACTGCCTTCCATCTGCATCAATTTTTTTTCTCTTCCTGAACATTTTGGGATCATTGTTTGTATTTTTCAATTTCACTTGTTCAGAAAATGATATTGATGTGGAAAAACTGCAATCTAGTGGTGGGATGCTGTTACTTCGTAGGCGACACAATCAGCATGCATTATGGGAAATGTAGTTTGTTAGTTTGTTGTCAGTGCCTCTTTTTGGCTTATTTATTATACGACAGTCAGACCTTTTAATCTCTCATGGGCCACATAAAATGATGTGGCGGACCACATCTGACCCACAGGCCTTGAGTTTACACGTGTGCTTTAGATCATGGGATTTTTAAAGTTACCTGTTATTTGTTGAAGAGCATCAATTTAAAATCCTCTTCCACAAAAGTTATGAACATAATTGTTGTCCACAGGCAGCCTTGGTGGAGTCCCAGATGCATAGGACACATTTTATTGTGTATAAAATATTGATGAATAAGATTAGCAAAGATTAGCCTTCTGTTGTTATCTACATTTTGAAAAGTGACTTAACTTATTTGGAAGTGAAATCCCCACCTATCCTCACACTATAACTGGTAACAGATAACATAACTTTTCCACAGATCGGCACTTCCAAACATTTGAAACATGACTTCAGTATAGTTCTAGAATTTAGTTCTAGAATTTAGTTCTAGAATTTAGTTCTAGAATTTAGTTCTAGAATTTAGTTCTAGAATCGCGTCGCTTGGGGTGGCTGCATGTTGGAGCAGCTCTGTTACATTTATTCTGAGATTTTGCTTTTGGAAACTTTAATTCCTCTTTTTCTGGATGTAAATCTTTTTTTTATTTTTTGATGATTGTTTCCTCTGATATCGGATGCTGAGCAGCTGGAAGAAGTTTTACTGAAACTTTTTTAGTTTTAGACATTTGTTATGATGTGTAACCATAAAAACAAGGTGTTTTTTTTTTACAACCAGGAGCAGCTGATTAACTTCTCAAAATCTTAAATAATATCTCAGCTACAGTCCCAAATCTCTAATGAGTTTTTTTTTTTTTTTTTTTCCTTTGTCCTGTCCGGCATTGTGACACTTAGAATTATTGTCTGAGTGTCAAAGTGATGCCCAACAGATTTACTTTCACAAGCAAAGCATTATGGCTGGCCTTAATGCTCCACTTGATATATAAATTAAATTTTATTAGAATTTGCTTTGTGTTTGTTCCAGATGTAATGGACACGGGGACGGAAAACAAAGAAGATAACAAAGCAGAAAAGTGAGAGAAGAGTTCAAATGTAAAGAAGGAGATAGGAATAGAGGAGAGAGAGAGGGATAAAGAGAACACAAATCAATATCATTGAAGTCTGACTCTAGACCTGTGGAAAGAAAAAAATACGACAAAACCGAGAAACCACAACAACAAACAACATATATAATGATACTTATAACATCATCAGAAAGTACTTTATACAGTACATGGTATTACAATATATATTTGATGGCCACCACAACCCAACTGAGTGTGTATCTGATAAACACCTGAATCTAAACACCTGTGTGAGCATGCTTATCACTGTAAGGTTTCTCCATAAAAATGTTCAATAGTGGATGTGGGGACCCATAAACCCGTCCCCACAGGACACAAGGGTAACACAGGGAAGACCGGAACCACAGACACACAGCGGTCCCCAAGGCCGGAACTCCAGGAGTCCCCCAACAGGGACACCCGCACCTCCAGAGAGAGAAGCAAAGGGAAGCCCCGGGCGATCCCCAGCAACCACAATGCAGAAACCCCAGGAGGCTGTAGCGACGAGTCAACAGGCCCCGCCGGCAACCCGCCCCTCGAGAGTGGATCCAGCAATGGACACCAAGCCCCGAGTCCTGAGGTCATACCACCCCCCAACAGAGGCCCTACAGAGCCAGGGCACCCAGGCCCCCGCAGGCAGCCACCAGGGCGGGCCCGTACACACCCCACCACCCAGCCCCAGCTGCTGAGAGCCGCCAACGCACCGGCGGCAGGGGGGCCCACCACCAGAGGGGAGCACGACACACCAAATGGGGGGCCAAAACTGATCCAAGAGAGGGGACCACCTAAAACCCAACATGAGACATAAACAGGCACACAGAGACAGCACGACAGAACCTCTGTCGGGCCGTCCATGCGCCCCACCTGCCCGACAGTGACCGCAAGCCGGCCCAAGGCCAGGGGCCAGAGCAGCAGGGAGCAGCAGCGGAGGAAGGTCGGCCCAGCACACCAATGCATCCCTACAACCCCACACCACAGGCCCGGAGAAGCCCCGGCACGCCACCCATGCACCCCCCCACACACACACAGCACCCCCCCACCGCGAATGTCACATCAGGCCGGAAATGGCAGGAAATGTGGCTCATGACAGTGGAAGGACCAGGATCATCCCCTGGCACCTGAAGCCGGCTATCCGCAGCGACGAGGAGCTCAGCAGGCTGCTGGGAGGAGTTCTGCTTGGCGTTCGGGTGGTCCTGCAGCCTGGAGGAACCGAGAGGCCAGCTGAGTCTGGGTGGACAGATCAGACAACATCTGTGGCCAGTTTCTTTGGATCTGCTATGGAATGGACATTTACAAGAGATCCTTCCTGCCTACTATAGACATCAGCATCTATAACATCTCTTAATGAAACGAGGATAACGAGTTACAACAACTTTTAATTTCCCTTTGGGATTAATAAAGTATTTTTGAATTGAATTGAATTTAATAAATGAAGATGTGTTACTGATGGCACCTCTTGTCATCGAGTACATTGTCCCTCCTGATGGAGGACGTCTGACAGCTGCCTTCAATCATTTCATTAAAGCCCCATGTTGATCTGCTTCATTATAGTAACTCTGCTGTACAAAGACCCCTGCCTTACAGGCATACAATGAAAAATTAAAAACGCCTTTTTCAGTTTTTATTAGATGCCCTGAGGTAATGTGTTGCTGCCCGTGCACTTCTCCCTGTAATATCTGTTTCCCACCTGATAACTGTTTTCTCCATCTTTCTTGAACACGGAGTCACCCCCTCTACCTTGTTCTAATTAGCACTTTAATACAGATAGAAAGTAAATTCTTCTTTTTAAAGGCTGTGCTGCACACACCACTCGAGGCGAGGTGAACTCATTCTGGGTGTTGTTTTTGTAATGATGGTGTTAAACACCTTGCTGCCCCTCTTTTCTCTCCCTTGCTACAGCTTTGATCAATGCATCTCTGTGGCATTTAATCAGCCCAGCCTGCCTCTGTCATCAAACTGTACTCCAGGGAGCCCGCAGCAGCTGAAAAGAGCCGCCGCAGCAGGAGCCCTTATTTTAATTTCCTTTATAGGGTTTGGAATTTATCAGGAGAATGCTGAACAAAAAAATGTCCCATTATATGATTATTTTAGAAGATGTTGATCTTCACAGCAGCAGGGTTGCACACAGCCACCATCAATACGGTGCGGATGGATTATCAATCCTGGATGTAAGATTCAAAGAGGTGGACGGAGAACTGCTCAGGCAAAAGGTGTGTGAGCACAAAGCAAGTGCACAACAGAGAAATCTAATAACAGCAGTGTGTGTGCTGTTCTGCCGGTGGTGCCTTGGGGTCAAGCTGGCTAATATCCGAAAACACAGACGAAGTCGTCTGGCTCCTACAGATTGGCCAGAGGAGAAGTATGCGTGTAGATGTGAGAGGAAGAAAAGGTGTGGGTGAGAACAGAATCATGCATGAGTTATGATGTGTGTTTATTCTTCCATCAGATGCTCGCACTTGTGCCGTGGCCAACTGCCAGTACGGTTGTGAGGTTCTGAAAGGAGAGGTCCGATGTCAGTGTCCATCACCGGGATTACAGCTGGCTCCAGATGGAAGAACCTGTGTGGGTGCGTCCCCGTCTTAATATATCTTCAGGCATGAAAGCTGAGCTGTGTGACCACTCCCATTCACGAGCAACTGATGTACGACGACGGGGCTTTTTCTCAGCTTGGAGGTTTGATGTGGGATCAGGAGGAGCAGCTGTTTTATCAAATGTTAACAACAAAAAATAAATAAATAAAATCACGCTATAAAAACACAGTTTTGGAACTGAAACAGATCCAGATATCTGAAACAAAGCATTCATGCAGAGCTTTTTGAACATTTCATGTTTGTTGTTCTGATCAAGGACTCCATCTGGTGAGAAGAAATTATATACGGTATTTATGGAGTTTATATATATATATATATATATATATATATATATATATATATATGTGTGTGTGTGTGTGTGAGTGCGAGGGGGAAGTTATCTGAGGAACTTCATCAGTGTCAGGGACAGGCTGCTCTGGTCTGACCTCTTTCTTTTATCAGTTTCTGTTAACTGCTTGGAACAAAACTAAAACTGATTGAAGATCAGTGAAGAAGAAGAATGAAGGAGGAGCTGATGAGGTTTCTCTCCACAGATATAATGACAAACTTGAGAAAATATTTTATTTTAGATTCTTTATAGAGGTTTATAGAACCTTGGACTTTGCAGAGGTCCAAAAAACAAACAAACAGTATTTATTACAATATTTATTTATTACAATATGATTTGTTATTTTTCATTGGAGAGTATTTATTGTATTTTTATTGCCACAAATAAAGACAAATAAATGAAAATGCACATAACCAACTATAGATACAAAAGCTTTATTGTATTTTAATTTATACCAGTTTTTTTTCTATAGCTCTATTGTTGCAGGATATAAAGTCTCATTCATTCATTCGTTCATTGCTAAATAATTAGGTTTCAGCTCGTAAGTTTAATGAGGCGCCACTCTGTTTGAAACGGTCCCATACTTTAATAGTGTGCTTCTGCTGCAGTATTGCTGTATCAAACACACACACACACACACGCACACACACACACACACACACACACACACACACACACACACACACAA